AGGGCCAACAAAGCCCCGTCGGACAGCACCGAAAAGTGTCTCATGTGAAACCCATCCAAGCCCGTGGCAGACCCGTGGGCAAAAGTGCGAGAAACCTTACGAATGGTGTCCACCGAAATACATGGGAGGGGGGTATTCACTTTCCCTGGCCTCTTCTGAAGTAGAGGCAGCCCTTCCCACAAAGAGCGAAAACGATCAGATTCGGCGGCAAGGAGCGCCTGCGGGTCCGACACCACACAGCCTCCTGCACTGAGCGTAGTAGAGGGCGACCGTCCTTGAGGGTCTTTCGTGTAGCCGTGCGCTCTGCGGCCACCCTGATCGACATTCTCAGTGAGCCAGTCAGCCCAATCTCGTCTGGCCTTGGCTGCGTAGAAAGCGCTACACTGAGAGACAAAGTCGGTAACCTGAATTGAGACCTCTTCGACTTGGGCCAACAAAACCTCCTGAGCCTCCAAGAAGCTAGGATCAGAGCCCGGCCCCTCCAGAGGGTCTTCCAAAACCTTGAGGTCCGAGATCACCGTGGAAACGCTTTTAAAAACCACTTCCATCCCAGGGAACAGGTTGTCGGGCTTACACAAACTTGGGGGAGGAGGCGGCAACAAGCGCTCCACGTCCCGAGCCTGAGGCCAATCCCCCCGCTGCACACAGGAGAGAAGACGTTTGACTTTCGAAGCGAGCCAGCGGCAGGCGTGGAGCTGAGGGTACCGAACGCAACCGTGATCTTTGCTAAGGATCGGCCTCCAATGAGTCTTGGGCCCCTTGCCCCTAGACCCCAAAACAGGAAGTTGAACCCCGAAAGTCCTTGAGAGTTCCCGTTCAGCAAGGCCCGCCCAAGATGCGTAAGCTTCACGAAATAGGCGAGAAGTCATGACCCCATCGTCCCCTCGCTTCGCACGAATGAACGCCGCGTCCAGCTGGGCATGCACGCGCTTAAAGTCCATCGGCTCAGGCTGGGGACCGTACGGCACTTCCGATGGGAGAGGAGGCGGGCGTCTGAATGCGAGGTAGTGCATCTGGGCCAGTCCTGCATGGAAGTCGAGGCAGACTGGGCTGTGGGGAAAGAAGCCAGCGTCCTCGAGTATGCGAACTTCGGCGGCGCCCTTGGAAAGCCCAGCAGATGCAACGAAGTAGTCGTAAACTTTGCCCGCGCCCGCGTGGCAAGTAGGCTTGTTGGGGTCGAGGAGGAGGAGGGAAGAGAAGAAGGCGACGGAGGAGAAGAAGGAGGAATAAGGAGGAGAAGGAGGAGGGAGGAGGATAAGACCAAGGTGAAGAACGGGGTAGGAGAGAGGAGGGAGGGAGAGAAGGGATGGAGGAGCAGGAGGAGGAGGAACGCGCTAAGCCAGGGCACGCTTGACCTTATCTTGCGGAGAGGTGTGTTTAGAAAAAACTGTCGGTCACTCGGCAAGGGGCACTGCGCATTTGTTTGATAACACGCTGTGCCACGTTGTCTTCCGGGCTTGGGCGGCCGCAGAAGAAAGAGAGCCGTCGCCACTGGTGGATTGTAGCAGCTTGTTTTGCGTCGCGGTCACATTGACGAACTGTCGAATGAAATCAGGGAAGCCATTGACAATGATGCTGCCGATGTTGCAGAGCGGAAGCGGCTTGAGTTGGACAGTGCAGCGGCCGATGTGTCGATGCGGCGCATGTTCAATGTGCTGAAGCCTCTCTATAAGCCCGCCCAGCAGTCGGCAGCATGCGTGGAGAAAGCGGATGGTACTGTCACGCTGTCAGCCTGCGAAACAGAGCGCGAAATGGCCGAGCATGTGGCCATGTTGTAGCAAGGCAATCACATTACCTACCATGCGGGAGTTGATAGAGAAAGATCGGATTGATAGCCTCGTCGCTGCAGATCGCACGGTTGACGCAATTGCCTTCGGCCTCGCCCCGAGCACTTCGGAGGCTGCTCGCATTTCTGCACACACACGAGGCCCATGGCTGGAAGATCTGAAGACTGCCACGGGTCCGAACTGTTCAAGGCTGCGCCTCTTGAGACTGCCCGGTTGTTCCACCCGCTCGTCTCTGAGTCAGTTGTGCCTCTGCAGCCGCCTTTGCAGTGGAAGGGGGGGGCACCTGTTTGAGATCTACAGAGGGAAAGGGGCAATGACCGAGATCCCGTCTTACAGGGACGTGACCATTTGCGAGGCGGCGTCCAAGTCGCTGTCCAACCACATGCGGGCACGTGGGATGCACGCCCTTGTGGCGACGAGTTCCAACTTGCAGTTTGGAGGTGGTCTCAACGGAGGGTCAACGGAGTTTGCCCACTTGTACATGGTCGCGTGCATGGACGTTGTCAGGGCTAAGAAGTTATCCTTCGGTGCTTTGTTCGTTGACTTGCAGACGGCATTTGCTAGCACTGCGAGGCTTCTTGCTTTTCTGCGCCGCCGGCGTCAATGGATGCATTTGTCGCCAGACTCTTGGCTGCGGGATTTTCTGCCGAGGACGCCGCGGAAATCGTCGAAGGCCTCTGTGCCTACGAGCATTGGACCGCGAGCGGAGGCACGACGCATTATCTCGCGATGCTGAGTAAGCTGCACAGACAGTCCTGGTTCGCTATGGAAGGCGTCGCGGGGTGCGTGCAGACTACATCCGGGAGTCTTGCTGGTAATGCCCTTGGGGACTTTGTGTTCCTCCTCGCCTTTAGCCGCGTGATCTGCGCTGTCGAGTTGCGCCTTGCTGCTGCCAGATTGCTCTTCGAACTCCAAGCGGAACCGTTGATTCCAGGATTCGGCGTTGAGCCGCCGAGCGGGCGGTCTCCAAGACGGCCCAGATGGCCCAAAGAGAGCCCAAGACGGCCCCAAGGCGTCTTCAAGACGGGCCGAGATGCCGCAAAGATGGCCCAAGATGGCCCCAAGATCGCTCAAGAGTGCCGAAGAGGGCTCCAAGAGGAGCCCCCAAGAAGGCCCGAAGAGGCCAAAGTCCTGTAGTTTCCCAACGTTGTTTGAAGGATTCGAAGGATTCTGGCGTTTGCTTATTTTCGGCTGTCCGACGGCCCAAGACGACCTCAGGGGCCACCGAGATGGCCCCAAGTGCGCCAAAGAGGCCTCCGAGATGGCTCACTGACGGCCCAAGTGGCCCCCAAAACGGCCCCAATATTGTCTCCAAGACGGCCCAGGAGACGTCAAAGACGCCCAAGACAGCCTCCAAGACGGCCCTGAAGCGACCCAAGAGGGCCCAAAGTCGGCCCAGGGAGGCCCCCAAGAAGGCTTCCGAGGGCGCCAGACAGGCCAGGAACTCCTTCAGACGGCAAAAAAAATGTCCCAATGAGCCTGCACCCAAGAGGCCTCCCGCAGGCCCCGAGGGAGCTCCCAAGAGGCCCCAGAGTGCCACATGAGGCTCCAAAGAGACCTCCTCCGCCTCCTCCTCCTCCTCCTCCTCCTCCTCCTCCTCCTCCTCCTCCGCCTCCTCTCCTCCTCCTCCTCCTCCCCTCCTCCTCCTCCTCCTCCTCCTCCTCCTCCTCCTCCTCCTCTCCTCCTCCTCCTTCCTCCTCCTCCTCCTCCTCCTCCTCCTCCTCCTCCTCCTCTCCTCCTCCTCCTCCTCTCCTCCTCCTCCTCCTCCTCCTCCTCCTCCTCCTCCTCCTCCTCCTCCTCCTCCTCCTCCTCCTCCTCCTCCTCCTCCTCCTCCTCCTCCCTCCTCCTCCTCCTCCTCCTCCTCCTCCTCCTCCTCCTCCTCCTCCTCCTCCTCCTCCTCCTTTTTTTGCTCTCTCCTCCGCTTGCTTCGTTATGCCCCACGTGTTCCCTAAAGGATTTCCGCACGGCCGGGGAAGCACATAGTCCGATAGCATCACCGAGCTCTGGCCGCAACGTCCGGCCACATGAGTGATTCAACGTGGGCGTCTTAGATCCGCTGCCCGCGGAGCTTGCCGAAGGAAAGCTTGGTGCGCCAGAATATAACATGCTTTTTAGCCCCTCCAAAGAATTCACAGTGGTTCTCGGCCCCACCCGCCGGCCACCTGGAAGGCCGCGTCACGATCCGAAAATTCGGAGAGCTTCGTCTCAAAGATGACCAGTATGGCCCTCGATGGCCTCAAAAACATCCCAAGGTAGTCACTGGTGGCCCCCAGTATGGTTCCCGTTGACTCGAAAATGACCCAGGAGGGCTGGGAGACGGCCCAAACAAGATCGCCTCAAGACGTCCCCAGACGCCTCCAACACGGCCCACGAAGGCTCCAAGAGGATTCCCAGGATTAGTAGTGTTTCAGTGACTTTCGTATTCCCTCCCGTTCGGTCCTAGAAGCGCACGGCCCAAGAGGCCCCCAAGACAGCTCTAAAGGTTCCAAAGAGGGGCCAAAGGTTCCAAAGAGGGGCCCAAAGACCGCCCAAATGAGCCGCAGGCAGCCCAAGAAGTCTGCCTAACAGCCAAAAAAAAACCCACAGGGCCCCAAGACGACCCGCAAGACTGCCCAGAGTGGCCCCCAAGACGGCCTCCGAAGACGCCAGACGGCCCAAAAGCGCTCTAAGACGTTCCTGGAGAGCCTCGGGACGGCCAAGGAAGGCGCTGGGAGGCCTCTAACGAGCTCCAAAAAGCCCGACCAAAGGGCCAAACCAGCCCCGAGACGGCCACGTGGAGGGCCCCTCCCCACTGTTCCGCCGATGACTTCCCCAACGGCCGAGGTGACAAGCAGCACACTGGCATCGCTGGAGGTTTGGCCTGCACTTCGCCACACAGGCGTGTCCAAAAGGTGGGGGGCGGCGGTGATGCGCAGGATGCGTCTTCGATAGTTCTGCTCAGTTTCTCTCGCCCTCGCGTACCATCGTGGATGCCACGACAATGGACACCCTAACAGTCCTATCATTGAGTTTAAAATGTGCTTAAAATGCCAGAAACATGTTGCAAGCATGTCTAAAACATGCTTGTACATAGTTAAAGCATGTTTAACACATGTGTTAGACATCTGGAAATAATTTGGCAACATGCTTCCTCTCCATGGAGCATCCTCCACAGACATACCTCCCTCCGTCGACACCGTGAGTGGAAGTGCCGCCAAAAGCAAGACGAGGGGCCTCCTGGCGCGGTCGTGCGGTGGAGTCCCGCTCGGCCTCGGGGCGCTCGGCTCTGCACCCCGTCCACCCCCGCCCTCCGTCACCATCGCCCTGCTCTCTTCCCCCGCGGGAAGGGAAGGGGGAGGAGGCAATAGCAGAGTTATACTCGGCGGCGAGCGATGGGGGGAAGTGAGAAGGAGAAGGCCTTCTCAGAAGGCGGCGAGACTTCTCAGAAGCCCTCGGACCTTCTGAGAAGTCTGTTGCGTCTTCGGAGAAGGCTTAGAACACTTCTCAGAAGGCCGGTAGACTTCCGAGCCTTCTGAGAAGGCCTTCTCCTTCTCGCTTCCCCCCCTCGCCCGCCGCCGATATACTTTCGGCCCCACGAATGCACATGAAACCATGCGTCCCTTCCGGAAGCATTACACACGGCTCCGGAGGAGAATTTTGCTATGATCGAGCGATGGGCGCCGAATCATACTGACGATTGCGACTGGTTCAACCGCGCGAACAGCTACAATGAACCACCATAAACCACACCAACCCAGCTCGGCTAAGCACAAATAATCCTCAGTAATCGGATAAATGAGAGCTCAATCACTCCAGGCGAACTCTGCACTTTCCAACGGTTGCAGCCCACCTGTAGATTAGACAGATCATTGGAAAGGTCCACATCACGAACAGCTGCTTCCACCATCTGCACCCCACTCGGCTCCTTCCCGCTTGGACCGTGCCTCCCCCCACGACGTGGAGGACGCGGCTGAACGGCCAGACAAGCGGCGCTAAATGAAGAGGCCGTGGGACACACAAATAAAAAGATTCCCCATATTTTCCAATATTTTCCGTGCTTTTGTCTTCCCCCCCACTTCCCACAGTTTCCTATATCTTCTGGGGAATCGACGATCAATTGTGTCTGTGTGTGTGTTTTGTTTCCCTCCTGACCAAAGCAGCCCCAGGGTAAACATCCTCCCAGGCACGGCCGGCGCCCTGGCAAAAAGCGCAGCGCACCACGGCAGAGCCCCCGCAGCAGTGGCACGGCACGGCGCGGCCCACCGCGCGGTGCCGCGCGCGAGGCGCCGCCGAGGACGGCACGCAGAGCCCGCCGCGGCGGGGCGCGGCGGGGCAGAGGCTCCCGCTCCGCCTCCTCGGCTCTCCTCCTCCTCCTCCTCCGCCTCCTCCTCCTCCTCCGCCTCCTCCTCCTCCTCCTCCTCCTCCTCCTCCTCCTCCTCCTCCTCCTCCTCCTCCTCCTCCTCCTCCTCCTCCTCCTCCACCCCGCGAAGGGCTCTGCGGGGCGCGGGCGCCTTGGAACCACTGGCGGCGCACTGCCTCGACGGCGGGGCCCCGCGCGGCGGGGGCGGGGGCACCTGGCGGGCGGGGCGGGGTCCCCCTCGGCGGGAGAGAGAGAGAGAGAGAGCGGGAGGAGAGAGAGAGAGTGGGAGAGTGCCATCACATCGCCCATGGACGTTGCCCTGACGCTTCCTGGGACGCTGCATGGCACCTGCATGATAGACGCACTTATCCCGGGTTCAAGAACACCGAGGATGCGAACAGACCTTCTGACTTCGACCATTGCACTACTGTTGCCGTCGCCCCCATCTTTGAACAGCAAATCGAGCCCCCGTACCTACCAGGAACTGGCAGAACAGTGCCGATGTTAGGAAAAAATGAAATGAACTTGCTGAGCAGACTGCGAGGAGACAAAGAGGAGGGCGAGATGAAAAACGAACGGAAGAAATGCGGAACTGTGAATATACCCAAACGCCAAAACCCCTCATCGTGGCCAATCATCCCCATGGGTGCTCACAATACGGAACTTACAAGGCGGAATCACCTGTCTCCTTCGAAGGGCCGTCATTGCTCGAGCGGCCATCATACCGAGACGGCTACACAATCGCGTTGCGTTGATCAGTTCGCGGCTGCACTGAAGCGCGGCCTCATCCGTCACCGAGCAGCCAGCGGCACGCGCCGGATTTACCGCATGAGGCACTGTAGCGCATCCTCTGCATCGCCGACACCACGTCCGAAATGCTTTGCACTGCGCATTTTTCGCAAATCCAATCAACCCTCTGGGCGTAGGTTGTCTGAGGAGTTCACTCTTTCGATCCCTTCCTTCCCATTCCAGAAAAGGGGGCAACTTTCGCTCTTAGCCCCTCTCCTGTCCCTGGACGGGGGGGGACCGCGAGGTGTCAGTGGGTCCTGTGCGGCCGAAGGTGGCTCCAAAATGGCTTCAGATAGTCCAAAGTGGCGTCGACGGTGGTACGAAATAACCTAAACAGCCGAACATGGCTCAACATAGCATCCAGCATGTCTCCAGCAGGCCTCAGAGCCACAGGACGCCTCGACATTGGCCACGGAGCCCCCCAAGGATACTCGCGAGAGGCCAACATCCTTCAAAAAGCTAAGTGCGTTGATGTTCGCGAACTAGTATCTTCGCTCCCGACTTGCTTCTGGGGCCACAACTGGCCGCAAAATGGCGTTATTTTCGCCCAAGAGAGCTACACGGTAGGAGCCAGAAGGGCTCCAATGCGTCCCAATATCGCCCAAGAGCGCTCCAAGAGATCCGACGCGGGAGTCACCAGGCCTTCGGCGAGACCCTCAGAAGAGGAAAAAACTCTGAAAGAAGCGCATGGGGAAAAACAAGTGGCTGGCCTCCCAGGCAGTTCCGATTGCAGAAAGCCCCAGGAAAGCATCAGAGAGCCGCAAGGAGTAACCAAGACGGCCCAAAACTCACCATGGAGCACCCCAAGGCAGCCCAAATATTGCCCGAGAGCCCTCCAACAGGGCCCAAGAGGGCTTGAAAGCGGCGAGCCTGATCTGTGAGAACCTTGTAGAAGCATCGCGCCGCAGACGGCCCCGAGACCACCGACGGCACCCGACGGGCCCCAAACGGGCTCCCCCAGGAGGCCCCAAGAGGCCCCCACAAAAAAGCAAAGAAACCCAAAAGGCTCAAGAAGCTTCGAAAATAGCTACAAAAAGGATGAATAAGCAAAAAAGGAAGGAGGAAGGAGGAACGAATACAAGGAGACGTTGAGACCCACGACTGTTCAAACAGAGCACTGAGCTGGAGCGGGTGTGAAACTCAACCTCCTTCCTGCTGCGCTGCTGTGATCGCACCGTGGCAGAGTTCACCACAAGCAAATGGGAAAATGTTTGCCAGCGCGGCCCCCGAATACTGGATTAGATTGCACTCTAGATGTGCAGGCTAAATGATGCAAGCTACTACGAAATGCAAGCTATGAGGTGCAAGCTGTGTGGTGCACGCTATACGGTGCAAGCAACAATGAGGGTCTTACACCATCCCTTGGTGCGCGGGTGAAACGGGATTTCGTTGCCCGGATGGTGCCTGATTTTTGTTTGTTGCACTATCGCTGCTCAAGAATAAAGTTTGATGATCCCCCCATTGACGTGCCCGTCCCAGAGATCGCCCCCTGCTTCAAAAAGGACAAGTATTGCGCCTCCGACTGTGCTGTTGGCCCCCGAAAAACTACAACAACAACAATAACAACAACAAGCACTTGATGATTGATCGCCTTTATCTGCTCGCGGGCCACTCAACACGTATATCCCAAGCCCTCGATACCCACACTCTTCGTATTCGTTCGTACCCCCTTGGGAGTGTGTACATGTATATATATACATACATACATATACATATATATATGTGTGTGTGAGTGTGTGTATATGTCCTACCTGCAACGTGTATGTCTTGCAGCCCTTCAGGCAGGGGAAAAAAAGGATGGATGGAAGGAAGGGACAAGGAGGAGGACGGAGGAGGATGGAGCACGAGAGAAAGCAGCAAGAGGGGGGGCTAGGAACAGAAAACACGTGGCAGAACCAGACGGGCAGACCGGGAGGGAAAATCTCACGGGCGGGTCGGCAAGGCGGGCCCAGCAGGCCTGGTCGAGCAGGCGGGTTGCTTAAGCGTGTGTCCTGTACGAATATCGAGAAGGTCTCGAACGATAGCACGATTCCCAAATGCATCGTCTGGAAGTCCACAGCGACAGCGTGACGGAGGCGCGGCGTCTGAATAGATGGCGACCCGCGAGAGCGCGGTTTCTGTATAAATTGTGAGGGCGCCCCGCGCGAAAGCGCGACTTGGGAATAAATTGTAAAGAAGTGCCCTGCGGGAGCCGTTGCTGTTGTAGTTCGGGGCCCAACAACGCAGTTTGGTGACCCCTCGCTTTCTCTTGTAAAAACGAGGTGCAAGCCCCTGGAGAAGCACTCCAATTGAATTACCCTGGCGACGTACCCAACCCCTGCGCAAACGCAAGGCGCAAATAGTTTAGGACGCGTTATACAAGGGGCGATGACGGAACGAGGGTTACATATGTCTGCAGACGGAAATCGGGACACTCGCAGGACACTGGCTACAGGACAAGGACTAGATAAAGCTGATTAGTTACAATCCCAGAGCAACCCTAGCCACTTCGAAGGCGGGGATCTCAGATCGCAGCCCCCCAGGGATGGCGAGGTCTAATTTGGGTCCGCGCGTGGCGACACTGTGCTGGGCCCCCCAGCAGGCCTTGAAAGTGGCGACAGATTCACAGATCGCAGCCCCCCAGGGATGGCGAGGTCTAACTTGAATCTGCGTGTGGCGTCACTGTGCTGGGCCCCCCAGCAGGCCTCGAAAGTGGCGACAGATTCACAGATCGCAGCCCCCCCAGGGATGGCGAGGTCTAATTTGAATCTGCGTGTGGCGTCACTGTGCTGGGCCCCCCAGCAGGCCTTGAGAGTGGCGGCAGTTTCACAAATGGCAGCCCCCCAGGGATGGCGAGGTCTAATTTGAGTCCGCGGTGAGTATCCACTGTGCTGGGCCCCACAGAAGGCCTCGAAAATGGCGACAGTTTCACAAATCGCAGCCCCCCAGGGATGGCGAGGTCTGATTTGAGTCCGCGGTGAGTACCCACTGTGCTGGGCGCCCCAGCAGGCCTCGAAAGAGGCGACAATTTCACAGATCGCAGCCCCCCCAGGGATGGCGAGGTCCAATTTGAATCCGCGGTGAGTACCCACTGCGCTGGGCCCCCCAGTAGGCCTTGAGAGTGGCGACAGTTTCACAGATCGCAGCCCCCTAGGGATGGCGAGGTCTAATTTGAGTCCGCGGTGAGTACCCACTGTGCTGGGCCCCCCAGCAGGCCTCGAAAGTGGCGACAGCTTTACAGATCGCAGCCCCCAGGGATGGCGAGGTCTAATTTGATTCCGCGGTGAGTACCCACTGTGCTGGGCCCCCCAGCAGCCCTCGAAAGTGGCGACAGATTCACAAATCGCAGCCCCCCAGGGATGGCGATGTCAAATTTGAGTCCGCGGTGAGTGCCCACTTTGCTGGCCCCCCCAGCAGCCCTTGAAAGTGGCGACAGTTTCACAGATCGCAGCCCCCCAGGGATGGCGAGGTCTAATTTGAGTCCGCGGTGAGTACCCACTGTGCTGGGCCCCCCAATAGCCCTCGAAAGTGGCGACAGTTTCACAGATCGCACCCCCCCCCAGGGGACGGCGAGGTCAAAGGCAGGGGGGAAGACAGGGACGGGAAGGAAGGAAGGAAGGTTCGCGCGAGCAGTGCTCTATTCAAAACGAGAACCCACCCAACGCAGGAGGGTTGGGAAAAAAACATTCGTTACTGGAGGGGGCAACAATAATCAGTACTTTAGAAACTTTCAACAACAACAACAACGACAACAACGACAACAGCAGCAGCAACAACCACGACAACAAAAACAACGAAAACGAAAACACTAACAGCAGCAACAACAACAGTAGCAACAACAGCAACAACAACAGCAGCAGCAACCGCAACAGCAACAACACCATCAACAACAACAACAACAACAACAACAACAACAACAACAACAACAAAAACAACAACAACCACAACAACAACAACAACAACAACAACAACAACAACAATCATTTTACCCGAACGCTCAGTGTTCTCCCCAGTGCCAGGGTTTTCTTGCGACACCAGCCAATACCCCCACTTCGTGGGGGGGCCGTTCAAGCTCTACCAAATATCCAAACGACTCTTCGAGACCACCCACACCCAGCTTCCCGCCCTATGACGTTGGGACACTTCACTTCGTGGCGTGCGGACGACCCTGGCTACTACACTGGCGTGGGGTACACACCCACAGAGGTTGATCACATCTGTTACATATGATGTGGTACACGGTACACGTGAGATGGTACGCAGTGCCAAGATAGTTGGTCACATTTTTGGGGCAAATTCGTGGGGATGCGATTACAGAAGTACATGTGTTACACTGATGTTATACAGTCCCAAGGATGACGCATGCGGGCGCGGCGGCCGCGCGCATGTGCACTTCGTCTCATTTTTTGCAAGGGATGGTGGCCCTCGCAGGCGCGCAACCGTTGT